TATTTTGCCACAAGGTCATGTCAGACTTCTTTTAGGAAAATACTGCCCCCTTGTGGTATTAAATGCAGCTTTACAGTTTTTCTCAGTCGCTTTGGTGCGTTTCTCAGAACACCATTAACATTTGCACAGCAGTTAGTGCATTTCCCAAAACAATTAGTGCAAACTGCAAAACCTAGTGGATAGCCTGCAAAAGCACGTCACATGCACAGAATTGATTATCCATACCTCAAAAGCAAGTATCCATGTCAACGAAACTGTCAGTGCCATCAAAATGAAAAGTCTTGACACCATCTTTATGAACAAGATAGTCAAATGGCATTGTCATGTTTCCACTATGACAGTTTATAATTTCAGTGTTTCCCATTGCAAAAACAATTGGTGACACCTGAAAATGCTGACGACAGCACTATGGCCTACATGTACAGCCATCTGAAATGTGCAGTAAAGTCACTGTAGATGTTATGGGAGTCTTGGGAGTAACTGAGACACTGAATACGTACGTTTCACATTTCCATTGTGTAGAAGTGTTTGTAATCCTACAGAATTGTGCAAAAGAAAAATATGCTACAGTCACTTGTTCACTGTAGAATACATGTAAACATAAAATCACCAATTTGGTAGAGCCTCCTCATGAGTGACAGCTGTAATTCACCTGAGATCAATTGTTCAATTTCGGAGACATTTCCAGGAAAAATGATACAGAAAAGTATAGGATTTGCTTGACAGATGGCCAATATTTGGCATGTGATAACTAGTTCAACAATTTTGTGTGTGATGACTTAAGCAATGGATGTATGACTATTAGTTTTATTGGGAATGACTATTCAGCATCCATAGGTATGATTACTTTTGACTGACATGACATAAGCAAATGGAAATGTCAGAAAGCAGCAGGGAAATGTATGGAAGCAACTGATTCATGTCCAAAATCATTTGCAGTTTGTTCAGAGAGAGGAGAAATTGCTACTATGATGTGCACAAATGACTGAGTGTTGTGGAGGTTGAACTAATAGTTATAAGAATTTCAATTCTGATCTGAGAAACGCACCAAAGCGACTGAGAAAAACTGTAATATCGAACTGTTACACTTCTTGACTATTTTAGTACCTTTTTTAAATGAAAACAAGACTTAAAGAGCAGTGAAAGTTGATGTTGGACACAATCTGTAACAGGTAAAAACTCTTTTTGTCTTCAGTTCCTGCTACTCCTGAGATCCAGGTGTCAGAGTGCCAGGTGTGCGACAATACGGTGACTGTAGTTTGGAGTTTACCAGAGCCTGATACCAAGATAGACCACTACATACTAGAACACCGGCGCACAAATCACGAGGGTCCACCTCGCATCCGAGAGGACTACCCCTGGATGGTGGTGGAGGGGATACGAGAGATGGAGCACACTCTCACGGGTAGGAAGAGGACTGTGAGGTGATGTTTGGCATTTATAGTTAAACTTTGAGTAGATTTTCTAACCTAGAAAACTTCCCTAATTCCAAGGTCTGCGCTTTGACACCCGGTACTTGACGTTCAGAGTGAGAGCGTGTAACAAGGCTGTGGCGGGAGAGTTCTCTGAGCCGGTTACACTAGAAACCCACGGTGAGAATACTTGGATCTGGCTGCTGTTATTTTACTCTGACTGACAAAAGATGTGGGGCTTTTCAGTTTCCTGTACACTAAAAGAAAAACGTTGCTTCTTTCCCATTTCCAGCTTTCACTTTCAAGCTGGATGCTGCTTCAGCTCATCAGAACCTGAAGGTGGAGGACTTGAGCGTTGAGTGGGACAGCAGCGGAGGAAAAATACAGGACATCCGAAAAGACAAGAACCGAACCAACTCACCAATGCACTCCCCAGCCAGGTTTGTAAGCTGCTGATTTCATGTGCTAACTCTCATTATGAATAAAGCTCAGAAATATTGAATCTTTCTAGCTCGTGTCTTTTCTGTAATCAGGTCAGCCCTGATGTCTCCTAAGAGAGCACCGACCGCCCGGCCCGGCAGAGACAGGTTTACAGCAGAGTCGTACACAGTGCTGGGTAAGAATACGTGCAGCAAAAAAAGAGGGAAGGACAGACACAAACTTGTTTTTGCATTACCAAACCGCCCCAGATTGTAGATTGTAAGATACAATGTTAGAAAGTTACACAATAAAGTAATCTGATCTTCCTTACCGCCCAAGGTGAACTAGTTAGTTGGTGTAATGAAGGCTTTACACGAGAAGAAATGATCCAGATTTAAACCAAAGGTTTTTTTGTTGTTTCTTTTAATTACTGCACTTTTTACAGTTTTGGATATTTTAAACCGAAATCATTTCCACATAACTAACTTTTCAAATCAGATTTCCATCTCTTAGCAAGGCAGTTGTTACATAACCACAGCTGTCAGCATGCGTAAAGACAGTGGCGATTGTTTTGACGCTGGCCTTATGTGTCGTGACAGCTGACACTGTGATTGATGCTGGCCAGCAGTACTGGGAGGTGCGTTTCGACAAGGAGAGCAAGGCCTTTGCCGTGGGCGTAGCCCTGCGGAGCCTCGGCCGATTCGACCAGTTGGGGAAGAGCAGCGCTTCCTGGTGCATCCACCTGAACAACTGGTTGCAGCAGAGCCTCACAGCCAAGCACAACAACAAGGCTCGAACCCTCGACTGTCCCATCCCAAATAGCATCGGAGTCTACATCAACTACGATGAAGGTAGGATCCAAACAGATCAATGGGTGAACTCAAAGATTTAGTTTGCCTCAGCCACAATTTGGTAACTGGAACAAAATGAAAATGAAAAGAAAAAGACTGTTTAGCGTTATTTGTGGATTAAAGTGAAGCAAGAATAAGGCTACTTTAACTTCCACACATTTTAAAAAGCAAATCTTTATAAAATAAACCGTTAAGTATGTTTGCCTTTGTGTTTCTCTCCAGGTATTCTGTCTTTTTACAACGCCAAAACTAAGCAGCTGATGCACACTTTTAAAACTAAGTTTCAGCAGCCAGTTATCCCAGCGTTCATGGTGAGGAAATTCAAGCCTATTTTTGTCTGAAAACTTTGCACCACCTGCTGATTTTTATTTTTATTTTTATTTTTTTAATAAACTGGCTGTCATGTGCTGCCCCCTGCAGGTGTGGAACGGGAGTTTCTCTGTAGTGACGGGCCTGCAGGTTCCTAGCGTGGTGCAGAGCGGCCAGAGGAAGAACAGCGGCACCAGCAGCTCCAACGCCAGTCTCAACTAGACACATCCATGCACCTAGCCAACTGGACTCCTCCCACCTCCACCTCAGCGCCGCAGATCATCTCCTCTGCCCTGACCATATCGCAGAAGAGTTAAATCACTGGAGTATGACAGTTTATCCTGTTCCACGTGCAGTGTCTGTGTTGCATAGAGACGAACTTTAGGTGGGAAGAGGTGGGTCTGCTGCTCCCTCAGTGACAGAACTCTTCAGATGTATGACTCTGGCTGTTGTGAATGCTGGGGATACAGTAGGTGTAGGCTTGCTAGGTTTCCTGTCTCTGCACATCCATTTAGCACCACTGCTGCTAGAGCACTGATTTAGCGCTGGCCGCTGTCCATCCTTCTGTCAGCCGAACTGTTGTGCAGCCAGCTGCCGGTTCAGGGTTACGCTCTGTCCTGTCTGCTCTCTCTCCCTGTGCCTTCCTGCTCATTTCCAAAAAGATGAAATCGGGTACGCTAATAAGCTTTCTGTTCCAATTTAAAACTATGTCAGAAAAATTTGGATTAGCGGTTATTACCTATCCAGCCAGCAACCAACATACGGTCTATAACCCAAATAACAACCTGCACCTACACACAGTTACTGAAGTCCCTGAATCGCTGCCAGCAGCTTTTAGATACAAGAAATTAACATATTTAGGATGCTGAATTTGTTTTGTTGCCAAGGCATGTGCATTTAACAGTGTCTATTGTATTTCATATAATAGCCAGGACCCACACTTTGGGCTCTTTTGGCTCCTGCTGAGGTTTTGTTAGTTTAAAATCAGAGATGGTGTTAACTGTGGAGGAGTCTGTCGTACAGACTAAAAGTCAGAGGCAACTTCCTTCATTTTAGCTCCTTGTAGTGAAGTCAGAGCGCTCATGTGGCTTCAGGATTTTTGAAATGATTGTACTGTATACTCACATAACTGCACTCTAATGCTTGTCCCTGTATATGCACCATTTCTTTTGCAGCAAAGAGTTCCCATTACGAGTAGTGGACTGCGTTTAGTCCTAAATATAACAAATAGCTAGGCAGTAGCTGGAGCTAATAAATCATATAATACAGATTAGCCATTTATGGAGCCACCCAGGTGAGAAACTAAAACGATAAACCCTGAAAACTTAGTCTGAAGTCTGTTTTTGTGCACCGCCTGACCTCTGAGAAGCATCCACCTCATGCTGTATGTAACACACGGTAACAGTGTTGCTTTGCCACATTTCTCCCTCTACGTGTGTTCTGAGTAACGTAGCCTGCGATGCTTTAAAGAAGCGAGAGTTCTGTTGACTTTGTTTCACATGCTGACAGATGTCAGAGTTTATTGTAAATAGTTTAATTTTTTCCACTATAATGTATCAGTCATTGAGGTAATAAAGGAGTGAGAGCACTGTGTTTGTCCGTGGATGTCTGTCTCAAAACAGAAATCAACAAAGGAGGACAAAAAGGTTTGGCTATATGAATAATACATAAAGCGGAAATAGACCTGGCACAGACCGTCATAAAACCTATCCTGTTGCTGCATGGCACCTACTAGAATTTGCTTGATCACATGACCTGATGCGAAAGAGCAAGTTTTACTTCAGTAAAAAAAAAAAAAAAATAAAAATTTTATACGATACATTTACAGAAACCAAAAGTTCGTCTGGCAGTTCTGTTTTTCTTCATAGGGCTGCATCACTAAAAAGGTGGGCAGTAATACACTACAGTTCAAATATGAACATCCTGCCTGTAAGGCAGAATATAACCATTGTAGCTATGGAAATCTTAAAAAAAACAAAAAAAATCTAAAAACACTGATAAATGTGATTCAATAGAACAAAGAAAAAAAGTGCCACTTTCATTGGCAAATGTGCAAAATGTACAAGAGAAAGGTATAGATAATGTGACATGTGCACTGCTCTTTACAGTTGATTAATTTGCTAACGAGTGTCCAAGAGAAACAAAAATCAATAGCACGTTAATCTTCTGAGAGGCTTTGCTGCTTCTGTGCTGCCGACAGAGCCGAGCTACACTGCGGAGCAGGGGGAGGTTATCAGCGGCCCGTTTCTGCTCCCATGTGTCGGTTCATCTTGCAGGGACGGTCTGACACAGCAGCTTTGCCATATTGTCACAGATGGAGATTGCTCTCAGGGGCTCCCGTCACGAGAGGTCACTGGCACTTGCCCTTGTTTTTTTCCAGCCGAAGTTTCAGCTCAGATATTGTTGCGCGAGCAACTAAAAGATAAACAGATTATTAAGTTCAACATGAGAAAAAAGTAAAAATAACTATTTAGAAAAATATTAAATGTGTTTCAGATTTCACTGAGGTAGGAAAAAGCCTTAAAGTGAACCTACGCTGATTATCGGGGTCTGTAACGGCTTTCACCTTCACATCTTGTTTTGTGGTTGAAACGGAGGAGGGAAAAAATTTGCGAGGTGCAGGAGTTGGAGGCATGAGTGGAATTTTCTGGGTTTTCCCTTCTGGTTCTGTAGTGAAGACAGACACATACAAGGGGGGAATTAGCCATACAGCGTCAAAGTGAATATTTTCCAATAGTTTCTTAAATTAGAAAGCGAGATAGAGATCGAGAGCGACTTACGTGGCAACGGATTGACTGAGGAATCTTCTGTCTCTTCTGCTTCCTCATTCCCTGTTTGAACACAGACATTGCTTAGAAACAGTAACTGGAAAAATGAAGTCACACCTGTTTACACTTGTAAAACATAACAAAAAACTCATGATGGATGAGCTGATTGATGGCACATGTGACAATGGTGATACTCACAGTTCTCATTCAAATACAAGCACTCTTCCACTGGCAATTCCTCTGGTTCAGGAGATGGTGTTTTTCTACAGACTGGAAAATAGAAGACATGATTTTGATTATTGGAGCACCTAATAAAAAATAAAGAAAGAAAATGACCAGATTTTAAACAAACAAACAAACAAACAGGTACTATTTCAACCAGCAACCTTGGGAAAACACAAATATGCAGACAATAAACACGGCATATTATGTTCAGGTAAATAAAGGTCAACGTAATATGTTTTAGTCACAGGAGTCTGGAATGAATTCAATATCATTTCAAACGATTGTTTACTGTGATATTTTGTGCAGATTTTCTTAAATTACAGTTTAATTAATTAAAGTTTAATGGTAATTAGCATTTAATTTCAAAGTCCAGAGCCAAAAGAAGAAACTAAAGTTAAATCACTAAGAGGAATCTCCCAACTGCACCAAAACAAAGAGGCTTACAAAGCAGAGTAAACAGACTGATGTATGAGTTTGTGTTAATGGAAAATACCTGGTTTGGGAGGCTTGGAAGGAAGGCTTGGTGGAGGACCTTTTTGCAAGGGCTGCTGAACACTCTTTTCTCCATTTTCATTATCAGAAGAAATATAAGCTGTTAAAAAAAGTCCATAGCTTATATTAGTCATGGAATAATTACTACAGAAGAACAAATAGAGACTGGACTATATCAGGTTCTGTACATACATAATTTCTTTTCATATGGTTCTTCAATAATGAGGGGAATCAAAACTCCGTCAGTTGATGTCACTAAATAGCTGATCATATCGTGCAGAGTGTCACAGGTGACCTGCACAGAGAGAATAATCAAATACACAAAGTTAACAAGGGTGTGTGTGTGTTGACTTGGTCATTTATGGACCTGCAACGATAAAATGTCTTGCAGGAACTGCAGTGAGCACTGCTGCTGAAATTCACTTTACAGACTGAGGTGTGTCATGAGAGCACAGAAGGAAATGTATGCAACTTTCAAGCACAAACCTAGCGTTGTACCCGCAAACTAATGCAAAAAACCACACACACCAGGGCTGAGTCGTGAAAACAGCAGCCAGATTAAAACAATCATCTGCTGCCATGACAATTTTATTCCCACCACAGCCTTTACTGTTAAATACCTTATTGTTTTCCAGGAGGTCATAACACTTTATCTCTATCGCCAATAAAACTATGAAAAAAAAAGTTCTATCAAGGGCAGCAGTGTGTGTGTGTTGCACTGTTTGTCACTGCCATGTGGGTGTAAGCCACACACAGAAGATTTCATAAAGCAATAAAAAAAAAAGGCAAGACCTGCATAGAGAATAAAATGTACAACTGAACCCAGAATTGGGCTTTAGTGTTAATACTCACTTTAGGCTCCACATCGATGATGAAGCCGCCGTCGTGTTTTCGGATCACGCGGTAGTGTTTGACTAAAGGGCTGCAAGAAAAAAAAAAGAATAAACTTTAAACCTGAATAAAATACCAGCATAGTTATTGCTATCAGCCACGTTGGGACACTGTGCAAAGCGTAACGTAAAAACAGAATAAATAAATCCATATTTCAGTTCTACTGTGAATAAACAATATGATGGGTTTATGAGGTTTTCAGATCACTCCATTCTGTTTTAATTAGCATTTTACGCAGCATCACAACTTTTTGGGAATTAAGTTTGTATATTATTTGTGTTATGTATGAATGAGTGAGCACATGTTTATATCTGTGTCCGATGTGTGTGCGTACCTGTCCAAGTCCTGCCTGGTGCTGACAGCGAAGGAGCTCCCATCGCTTCCAGGTCTCAGCAGCAGGTTTCCTCTTTTGACTTCTCTGTCAAGAAGCAGCTCGGCCTCCAGGCGGGAGACATTGTGGTAACAGCTATAGGAATGACACAAATGTGTCACTCATCAGCAGCTGAGCTCGGTATATAATTAAATTCTAATGGAATGCATATGCAAAGAATGTTTCTGGCATTAGAGTCAATCTTGACTTCTTTCCAAAGAAAACAAAATTCCAACATGTCTGGCTTCTTTTTTTTTTTTTTGTTCCAAGAATGAAAATGCAGATAATTCAGTTAAATACCAGTTAACGCATTTACAGTTATAGCAACACCTCTTCGCCATAAACCTAGTCAGCAATAGTGCAAAAGTCACGAGTGTCTTTGATACTGACGCTGGCATGTCTGCTTGTAGGGTGACATAAGAAGGGCAGCTGGTCTCAGCAGATGGAGGACTGTTCTGTTTTCTCTCCGTTTCCTTTTGTACTGCCTCTTTCAGCATGTGGATCTGACCTGGCAGCAGATTCAGAGAGGTGGGCACAGCCAGCTGCAGGAATACATAATAATAATTTTAAATACTCTGTGTTACATCTACAGCTTGTTATTTTTCTATAAAGTGAGATAAAGGTTTGTACCACAGACCTCAGCCACAGCTTGGATATAGCCCTTCCAAAACTCACGAACTTCTGCATTTGGGACCTAAAGAAGTGACAGAGGAGGAGGAAAAGGTCAAAAACAGAGCATCCTCCTTTGATAGAAATCAGACCAGTTGCATGTATTCCACATATTCCCTTACGGTGAATTTGATATTTCCGCCTTTCAGTCGGAGATTGAATCTGGCTGCATCCAAGTTACGGTCCTGTCTGGTCTCATCTGTTACTGAGATAAATCCACTGAGATCCAGTTTCTCTATGTACTGATAAAACACACACAGTCAAAGAGGGTTAATCAAGAAAAGTTTGGGGTTTTTTGTTTGTCGTTTTTTTTAAAAAGAATAATTCAAATTTGTGAATTTCATTAAGTCAACTTACATCGCAGTCCTTTTTGTCATTGAAGAAAAAAAGGGTGTTTCCACAAAGGGCGGTCCACAGTTTCTGAGATGTCTGCACACAAAAGAAAAACAGCTCAAGAAAAGTGACGAATCCAGACACGTGGATAGATATTTTAAAAATAAAATCATCCATTTTCTTTTATCCATTTCATTTATTTCCTTCCAAGTAAAGAAGAAAGCAAAGTTACACAACAAAGGAAAAAACAACAACATCAACAAAAACCAGGCTGATGACATTTCTGGGAAAGACCTGATGAGTCAACTGATTCCTTTACCGCAAAGGAAACCGAGAAACCTCAACAGATACAGGTGTATGATATTAATAGCTCTGCTCTACATGCTTGTTTGGATTCCTTTGGACCTGAGGGGAATCATGATGCTGCATCACTGAAATAATTAAATGTGTTGGTGTGTAAAGTGTGTCAAATCCCGGTATGTGTACGAACAAAGTTAGGATTTTTTTCCATTCGTTTTTATTTTGTTTGTTTATTTGGTTTTTACAGTTTTGTTTTCATTTCAGCTTGATTTCAATTGATTTCTTTGTTTTTGATTTTATCAGTTTTAGTGTTAACTCTGCATTTGTCTGTTATGCAAGGTTTTACTATTGTGTGGCTGTCACACTGTAGGAAGTTCAGAATAGAGCAATGCACAATGCAAAGATTTTGTATGAAGTCACGCAGACGTCAGTTTCACTCAACGGGTACACCAATGCCTCCCCAGACTTGTTTTGCCTAGACTGAGAAAACCAGAGACATTTCATGTATAATTTCATCTTATTTTGGTCTACAGACAAAGCAAAGACCCGAATGAAGCTCTCTTTTTCCATTTTCCAACACTGTGACCTGCTGGCAAATATTAAGGCTGATGGCAAAATCTCTAAGGCATTCGATGCCAAGCTCAAACAAATTGTGTTGAATTTATAAAGTGAGATAAAGGCTTGCCTTTCAGTCTCATGTGCACAGTCTTATCAGTAACACCTTGTAAGAACAGCCCTCAGGATTTATGATCTCTAAAGCTTGATGTTCTAGTTTATATCTTGTGTTAGTTCCTGGTTTTCTCAAATGATTACGACAAAAGCAATAAAGAAGTCAAACCAGTCTGACAGGCAGAAAAAAAATGTGAAAATGACGAGGAGCTTCTCTACCACAGTAAACAACTTTTTTACCTGGTTTTTTCTATCTAGTTCTTTTACCTACATCTGTTTTAAAGGGTAACTGAGCAGTAACCATGCCAATGCAGTGCTGTTTTATCATTTCAAGCATAATGTTGTAAAGACTAAGTACAAATATTACATTGGAATACAGTTTATATAAAGCACAGGCTTGTGCAGGAAAAAAATTAAATATTGCCCAAAAAAGCATAGAAGTCCTCTTTGAAGTCACTAAATGACCCTGACATTAAAATGAATAAGTAAATAAAAATATTTAAGAGTTGGCAGTTGTTAGGAACATTAATGGCATGTTATGCACATGGTTGGCAGGTCAGTCATTCATGTTCCTCTGTTGTTATCACACACACACACACACACACACACACACACACACACACACACACACACACACAAAACAAACAGAAAACATATTTCAGACTAATTGATTGCTTTACAATAAGGAAACGAATTTGACAACATTTCAAGCAAAAGTGGTCACATTTTTGCACTTTTCAGTTGCAAGGATTTGCTCTTTTTCTCTCTCTTATATATAAGAGCAAATTCTTTTGGACAGTATCAATCAATAGAAAGACTTTGCTTCATCAGGTCTTGATCATTTATGAGAAATTCATGGACATTTAAACTCAAAAACTGACTAAACTATTTGAAAGTTAAAAACCTGAAGCCTCGATAGAAAATAATGACATGCTTGCTGTAAGCGTGAGTATACAACGGTCAAATATCTGCACAAACAACCAAGCAAAAATCTTATTTACCTCATCATTGAATGCTCTCTTCTCCATGTATCCTTCATAGTAACAGTTTGGCAGCTGGTCCCTCGGTCGCCTTGTTCGCTTTGCCATCACAGCAAGTGTCGTTGTTCAGAATAAGTCAGATTATACTGTGAATACGAACTCAATTCTCCTACAAATGTATGAAAAGTGCCCCAGCTGCCTGACTATAAAACAACTCAGTCCTTGGGCCACGCCCTCGACCAATGATTGGTCAAAGAGCGAAGTGGGTGGGGTGTTTCTTGAGGACGGAAACTACCTTTTCTTGCAACTTGGAACAAACTCCAGCGCCTGGTATTTACACCTTAATGAACTTCAAAAGAACTAAAGCACAATGCTCATCAGAGCGTGTATGTTCTTCAGTCATTATTTACAGTAAATAATTCACAGGTCATTAAATGGAAACAACGCAAACCATAAAGCTGTTGAGCTGGAGCGTTAGCTTTTTAGACCTGCCATCATCAATGGCCACTAGTAACTAGTACATGTGTTTACCACTTCATTCTTATTTTTTTATTTTCTTTTTACATTTTCATTAACTTTGAATAGTCAGCTACTCATTCACAAGTCTGCTCCAGAACCATTTCACCTGTTTACCTGTTTCTCAGGTATACAGTTTCCAGATTTCTGTCCAGAGACCTGCTTTTAGAAAATCTCTGACCTGAATTCATAGCTTATTTCAAACCTCTGCATACAGTTTGTTTGTAGATTATTCACTGCTTTGAAGCGCAGTTGTTTTAGAATTTCTTATCGTGACTATTTTTATTTGGTTTTAAATGGGCTCAGTCCAGAGTGTGTTTGCTAACTTCAATTTAGTCTTCATTGTTTGAGGATTAGGCCTTTTTTAAATGGTTATAATATGAAGGTTATTCATCTGGGGCACTCTGATTAAACATTTGCACCAAAACTTGCTTGGCAGGTTGTGTTGACATAATCTGACGAAACTGGCAAAGACTAAAACCAAACTTATTTTTCTTACTCTATATTTTTATTTTAGTTTAGATTTCTAAGTACACTATGTGTTTTCCGCTTGTTTTCTGTTTAGTTGGCCTTAGCTTACGTTTAGTATTAGTATTAGTAGTAATCTTTGTTTTGCACGTGCTGCAGGTCCCATAGCTCCACACAGTATGGAACTATGAGGAAACAATATACTCCATATAAAGATTTTTGATTCATTTTGAATTATTCTAAAGTTTATAACTTGGGCATGCTTAAAATGACTTATAGTGTGCAGGGTCTTTACAACATAATTCAAATTCAATTCAAATGTTTGTGATTTGGCGCTACTTTCCTATAAAATATACTACTCTATAATAAAGCATGCACCTTAAAAAAAAAGTATAGTGTACTAACGCTGTAAGATGGGAAATGGTGTTTAACCAAGAAATTGCACATTGCTTAAATTTGCGTGGGCTCTCTCCAGGTATTCCAGCTTCCTCCGACAGGACAAAGGCATCCGCTTAAGGGCGTCAGGTTAACTGGTGAATCTAAATTGCCCAAATGTAAATGAAGTGCGAATATTTTGACTGTCTGTCTCTCTTTAGCCCTCGTTAGCCCTGCCTCTTGGCGACCGGTTCAGGGTGCACCACTACCAAGGTACAGGCAGTGAAACAATGGCGGGATACGTCAAGGCCTAATCTTTCGGTTAATCAGGAGCCATAACTTGATATCATCACGGTTTTTAGTAAAAATAGCACAGGCTTCTTTCAGATAGCATGAAACAGGTCCTGAGATTAGCCATCAACTTGTACTTTATTCTCAATCTTGTCAAAGTTTTTTGGTAATCTGATTCCATGAGAACGTTGCTGAGCTCAGTGTTGCATGAAAGATGACGTAGTAATAATCGTGTATTTTTTTTCTGTTGCTACAAAATGAACTGAGGACACGAAGTCACATTTTCAGATGCCAGCGCCACCAACAAAAACATGTTTTTGTCGATTTTAGGGCTGTTCCTCGTGTTGAAATAACTGTGCAAACACACAACACAAAGCAATGCAGGAAAAAAATAAGATTAAATAGCAGTTCCCGAATTTACGTTAAGGTTGAGCCTTGGCGTTACTTTAGCAGTGTTTACTCTGTGAATGTGTGATCTTTGATCTTTACAAAGTAACTCACTCTTAGCCATTATAGTTTAACATCAACAATCCAGCCTAAGGTTCATTTACGCAGGGCTCATACCTATACACTGTAAAAAAGAAATGTCCGTGAACATTACAGTGAAAAACAAAATTCAACATTACTGTTAAAAATAGTACAGAGTTACTGTAAATCAAGAAACATTAAGCTATGTCAAAATAATTTTTACTGCTAATATATGTTTTTATGTGAAAATATATTATAGATTTGTAAAAAGAAAAAAAAAGAAAAGGAAAAAAAAGAAAACTTTTGCTCTACTTTTAACGCTACATATAAAGCCAGCCTCCATTCTGAAATCAGAAATCATAAGCTCTCAATTTCTACAGAAACAAGATGTTAAATATTATTTCTTTTAGTCCTTTTCAGAGAACAAAATGCAACAGTTTCCGTTTAAATATGGGTTCACCACCAACAATCTAACTTTTAGGCTTTGAACAGAGAGCAACAGCGAAATATGTCGCTGTGCCATCTTGATTCAGGCGAACTGAGTGAAGCACGCGGATAACATCCACGGCACTCGATCTGCCTCGACCTGACGCATAGTTACGTTTCTTTGAAGGTGCGTCATGTTACCTGGAAGGTTACGGTGTAGTTTCCGGTTTCTTAGTGAAGACTATTATCCGCAATGATGCACAAATGTTTCCAAGTTTAAATCATCATTTACAGCCTATCTGTCACGAAAGCACACTTTTCAGAGCGCAGTATTGGTGAAGTCATCTGTCCCAGTCTGTTGACGTTGGCCCTAAAGTGTGGGAGGCAGTTAGAAAGACAGACACGGATATTATAGTTATTACGTGAATATCCACCACCCAGTGGATCTGTGGGGTATATGTAAAAAAACAAAAAGCGAGTAAAACAATCATCATTGCGTATCTACCGCAGCACCGACCTGTCAAAATAACCACAATGAGAACAGATCATAAGCTCCGGGTGGAGTGCCCAGACAGTGATGTAACACAAGTGTCAAATATCATGCAGGACCAAAATGATGTAAATTGACATGTTGATCAAAGTAAGACATGAATAAACACAACTAATAGGAAACTGTTAAGGAAAAGATTCAGACACAGTTGGGGAATAACATACAGTGTAAGATGGGGATTGAATAAATCTGAAAATGTATTCAATTTATTAATTAAGATAAACAAAAGGTGGAGGTGTCCCCCAAAGGTCTGCGTTATTTTTTGTCTCTGCTGGCTCTTGACCTGCATGTGCTTACAGCGAACACCCCGGGAGCTTTTTTGGTTTCTTCTTGGTATTTGTTGAACTTGCAAGTTCAATAAACCAGCTGGCATCGAACTCTGCTCTTCTTCTGTGATTTTAGTGTTTTGGTTTTTAACTAGTTGACAAAGCCTGAATCCACATCCTATCAACATGAATAAATTTTGCAATGTCTTTAAAATTTGCAAATCCACAGCTCTCCACTTGAGTTCCTTTAGAAGTGAGTATTGTACTCAAGTTGTGTGTTTTTTTTAAACCACATTTAGCGTGAATCACTGTTTATAGTGGTTGATTATGAATTCTTGTGTTCACAAAGGTGTTTAGATGATGGACACAAAAGTTGAAACAAAAAAAAAAAAAGAAGAAGCAACAGCGAGTGCACCCAAGAGTCCTCGCCCTCACTGCAAATCTCTCTGATTTCTGGTAAGTGGCTGCACAGTTTATTGTACATTCATTTGACAAGAGAAGGGTGTAGGGTGTTTTTTGTAGGTGTGCCATCTTAAGTTTATTAGTTTATGCATTTGTTGAAGTTAAGCACTGCATAAATATCACCATTTCAAGAGCTGATGAGATGCAAATATCTTGCCAGTGTTGGCCACACAGGTTCCTTTCTTTAGCTGTTTTGGGCCTTTTCAAAAGTTTTGGATGGACTTGGATGATATAGATTTGTCAGATTAGTTGTAAGTAGAGAGAGTTGGTTCAGACCAAAGCATTGCTGTCCCCTGGTGTTGCTTTTTTGTCCTACACCAAAAGTTTTGGCAGTTACACAAACATGTTTCTATGATACAGTGAAGAACAATCACAAAGGCTTCATAAGTTTCAAAGATTTAATTTAACAAATACATATAAGTTTAGTTTTGGTAGTGCCAAAACATTTGGCCACTATTGTACTACAGCTTGATTGGCCTGACGTCCACAGACTGTAACATGGGCAGCAGTTTATCACGTTTGTTGGGCCAATTTCTTTAATTGTTGGATCTTTAAAATAAATACACAACACATTTTTTAATATACAAAACTGTTTAACCATCTCTCAGCACAGTGCAGCTGGAGAAATCAGTACTGCCAACTTTGTAAGAGTGTGGGATGGCTAGCACTCAGTTTCATCATCAGTATTATGTGTTTTTCCATTTTTCTTTTTCCTTGTTTGGATGGAAAACTAAACAAATAAAATACTTGTATGTGACTTTTTTAAAAGTCTTCAAGGGACTCTCTGCAGTCCTGTGAAAAACTGAGCACATCCCATAATCAGTAACTTGCTAAATGTGGAATCACCTTTAGCAGCAATAACTTGTTTTCTGTGTGACTTTATCAGTCACTCAAATTATTTTGGAAGAATTCTGGCCCACTCTTATTCATTTGCATTGCACAGCTGTCCTAAGGCTTTTGAGACAAAACTTCAGTCGGGTTCAGGTCTGGACTTTGGACCATTACAACACCTTGATTGTTTTCTTATTGCATGAGCCAACATCTAGCTGTCAGACAAATGGCCTCCAAAATACTTTGGTATGCAGAGGAGTACATGGTCGACTCATTTTCTGTAATGTGTCCAGGTCCCAGGGGCTGCAAAACAAACCTAAACCATCACCCCTCTACCACCATGTTTGACAGTTATGGTATGAGGCGTTTTTCCTGATATGCTGTGTTTTGTTTTCATTGTGCATGGTGAAATATCTCCACTTTGTTCCAGAAGTCTTGTGGTTTGTTCAGGTGCAGATAAGCCGTGCTGGCAGTTATTTCTGGTAAGAGGAGGGTTTCTCCTTCCTTTCCAAACAAGTCATTCTTGCTGTTTTCTA